ATATGTATTAACTATTTACTGTATTTGTTTTTAACATAATATTCAATTATAAGCTTATATAATTATGTTTTCTTCTTTGCAAAGGTAAATTTGGTTTACAGTGTTGTGTTTTAGAAGCACAGGATCTCCCCCTTCAGGTGTCGTTACCACACCACACCCACCACTAAAGCTCCTATAGTCCACTGCCATTGTCCATCAAGCTCCCTCCCCACTTTGCTCTTAACAAACAGCAAAACTGGGCCTCCCCGGTGGCGCAGCGGTTGAGTGCTGGGTTGCGAGGATGCCCACAGTCTCTGCAGCGCCTGTTCGATCCCCAGGGCGAGGGTCCCACATGGTGCGCAGACCTCTCCTGCCGCCTGCTGCTCCCCTCAGCACTGTACTTCTTCAGTCTGACTCCTCTGTTATCCGCTCTGACTCTGGTGAATTCTCTCACCCTCCCTCGCTTCTGACTGTACCCAGTGCTTGAATGAATGAATGAATAAATAAATAAATAAATAAATAAATAAATAAATAAATAAATAAATCTTTAAAAAAAAAAAACAGCAAAATTCTGTAAATTTACCAGGTCCCTCCCTTGCAAACCTGCACAATCTAGCTTCAGTATACCACTGCCTCTATATCTCCTCAGCGCCAGCAGATAGCATGCTAAACTGCTTATTACTTCTAGGCATAAGTTCTCAGTTGCAGCATTATTTTTGGAAATTCCCTACTAAAATCTCTATAGACTTAAATAATCTCCCAATTCAGAAAATTGGAATCATATATGAGGACTAATTAATGTATATGGAGGAGAGTGGGGCAATTAACCACTAAAAAGCGAACTATGGAATGCGAATGAGCACTGTGATTTGCATTCAGAACAGCTGGACCTAAGACCTAGTCTTTTTTGATCAGATGTATCTTTTTAATTTTGAATTGCAGAATTCTTATCTATAAAATGTAGCTAAAATGAAATCACAAAATATTTAGAACAAAATATAGCAAAACACTATATGACATACATCTCAGTAACATCTTTAAAGCCACATCCCCCCCAAAAAAGTGAAGGAAAAGATAAACAACTGGGATGACATCAAACTAAAAAGCTTCTGTACAGCAAAAGAGACACTAATCAAAACAAAGAGACACCCTACTGACTGGGAGAAAATTTTTGTACATAATGCAACTGGTAAGGGACTAATCACAAAAATCTACTAAGAGCTCACACAACTCAACAAAAACAAAGTAAAACAATCCAGTCAAGAAATGGGCTGAAGAGCTATAAAGACACTTTTGCAAAGAGGAAATGCAAATGGCCAACAGGAATATGAAAAATCACTTGTAATTAGGAAAATACAAATCAAAACCACAATGAGATACCACCTTACACCAGTGAGAATGGCACACATTAAAAAAGCAGACAATAGCAAATGTTGGCGAGGATGTGGAGAAAAAGGAAGTCTCCTACACTGCTGGTGGGAATGCAAACTGTTCCAACCACTATGGAAAGCTGTGTGGAGTTTCCTCAAACTACTAAAAATGGAGCTACCATATGATCCAGCAATTCCACTCCTAGGACTCTACCCAAAGGACAAAACAACACTGATTCAAAAGAATACCTATACCCCTATGTTTATTGCAGCACTACTTATAACAGATAAAACCTGGAAACAACTCAAATGCCCAAAAATAGATGACTGGATCAAAAAGATATGGCATATGTACACAATGTAATACTATTCAGCAATCAAAAAAGATAAACTCATGCCATTTGCAGCAACATGGATGGAGCTAGAAGGGATCATGCTCAGTGAAATAAGTCAGAAGGAAAAAGAAAAAAATCAAATGATTTCACTTTTATGAGGGACATAGGAGAACCAAAGAAGGGATCAGGGAACAAAATTAACAATAATAATAATACTAGCAGGCAACCATAAATAAGAGACATTATGTAAGGGAGCAGGGGGAAAGGGGCTCAAAACAGGGGTGAGAAGAGTACAAGGGACTATGTGAAATTCACGGGTGAACTGGTGGCGGGAATTTTATGGGGAATACACAATGATGTAAAAGATATAAGTAAAAAAATTAAAAAACAAATAAATTAAAAATAAATCAGTAAATAAAATGTATCTAAGAACCACTCCTTTTGTAGTTTTTTTTTTTTTGTGAATACACAAGAAAATGCAGTTGAAAATATTTTATAATTAAACTATCTGTTATCAGATAAATCATTTAATAATGTGCTATACTTTTAAATGAGTTTAACCTATTAGAACTTTTTCTAAAAGAGGAAATTAGTCATTTGTGTTTTTTTTCTTTCTGTGCTGTTTCATTCTTGTCATGTTTTAGATTTTGTTTCCTACTTCATTGCAACTAACAATTTACAATTAAGGATATTTCTTGAGATTGAAAAAAAATTCATATGTATCACAAAATAGGTAGATTTAGTTATGAATAGTTACATTACAGTAGATTCAAAACATATTTAAGGGAAGTTGAATGCAGAATAATACTCAAGAGACCCAGATTTCACAGTTGGTTCATTCAACAAAACTTATGACACAATTTTTTTTTTCTAAGCCTCATTTTACTTCTCTTTCAACTATAAAGATTGTATAAAATGACATGATATTCTTTCTAAATCAAAATTTTCCAACAATTTCCTTTATTTTCTTAAAATGTCCATTTAAATAATGACTCATTTAAGTGGTTATCTATAAATATTAGCTACTGTTTCTAGTTCTTAATATTCCAGACTTAGAATTGAATTTTAAATTGTCTTTTCCTTATAGAGCAAGAGCCCATGATTGCTTTGCTGTTGCAGCTACACAGTGGAGACTGTTCTGCTTTTTAGTCACTAGGGTAAACAGAAAAGGGATATAAAGTAGAAAAATTTAAAACTGAAAAATTTAAAACTGAAATGAGAGCAGTCATCCTCTCAAGATAAAAAATGAAACATCTCTGAAGGTTCATAGCAAATGAAACACAATATCTGATTATTTCGCTGCATCTTGGTGTTTGGCTCTTAAGAACTTATCAATTCCATGAAGAACTGTAGGATGTTTGGAAGCACTTCCGTTTTTCTTTTTATTTTCTTTTAATACCAAGCTCCAACTCTCCTCGCTTCTAAAGGCTGATTCTTCAACCCTAACTGCTCCTCTGACTTTCTTCTTCCTCCTATAAATCTGCTCCCTAACCACAGAACTCCCAAACTCCCAAATCTTGCCCATCTCAGAACATATGCTTCCAATTAATGCAAAAAAGAAATGAAAACAAAGGCACAGCTTCAATGCGAATTAAGAATCATTTTCCATAGAAGTGAATGTTAAAACTGCCTGAGTCACACCAGCACAGAAGTGAAAATGCCACCTGGGCAATTCCTTAGATGACAGGACACCTTCCTGCAACTTATTTATTACACAGTTAAGAAGAGTAGGGTGATCTTTCTGAAATGTTTTTTCTTAGGAACTCAAAATGTAAGCCTCTATACCACTGACAAGGTGGCATTTTTAGATTAAGCTATGGGAACTCTAGTGTGATTTACAAATACACAATCCAAGAAAAACAGCCCTCTCGCCATCGTGATTGGCATTGTTATTATGACTCTATTTTAATCTTATCTTACTGTCCAACAAGGCTATTCATTCAGCAACTAAGCTCATGTCAAAGACAAGCCAAAGTCTCCTTATTTGTAGGAAAACGCTTTTAAGAAACACAGTCTCATTGCTCAGACAGAACCAAGAGTATACATGACATGGTGCAAGGTGCTTATGATAGAAGGTGACAGGAAAGGAAGTCAAAACAGAAATACCAGCTGAGAAGGTGTTTAATCTTTGAAGTGTAAGGTATTACATTCTAACACTCTGTCTGACTGATATCAGACATGAAGGGAAAAACTATCTAAAACATATGGGGAAAAAGTACAGGTAGGTGCCTTTGATGTCTGTGTCGGCAAAGCACTTCAGCTTTCATATCAAGTCTTTAATAAAACAGCTAAAGCTCCTGGTTTGTAAATACAGGAAGCTAAGAGATTGCTGAGTAGGGTCTGTTACGCACACGAAATGCAACTTCATTTCAATGTGTGCTGAAACCAGCCTGTTACTATTCATGCACATGCACACACACACACTAGCACTCACACACACATACACACTCACACACACACCACTTAAAGCCAGCTTATAAGCAACTCTATCTCTGCTTTGAACAAGGTCTATAATTATCAAATACTTTTTATAAAGGAAAACTGAAGAATTCCTATAAACCTATATTTTCAAAGTATTAATGGGAGCTGCAGAGTCCTTTTTCCATAAGGCAGAAACTAAAAGCTGTGAGCATGGTGATGATTAAAGGCCAACAGAAGCCTCTCTGCATGAAGAATAATCAATAAAACACATAACTGACTTGTCAGCAGGAGTGAGAGACAGGCACAATAGAGGCAAATAAAAAAGGAGATTTTGTAAATGATTAACCTACTTTCAAATTGTCATGAACCACCAAATCCATAAGGGTAGCAAGGGACCATGTGAGACCAAATGTAAGGCAAATAAAGATTAACACCAGAGAATCCAAGCACAATGCCCCAATGGTCTTCCCATCTCTCATACTGATGACACACACTGTCCAGAATTTGCAGAGAGCAATTCCTTCTCCTCTACCCTCACCCATAATGCATACCTGTGCTTCCACAATCTGCTGGATCAACAACCTCACGCTACCTTTGTCCAAGTGCTTGTGTACCACTGAGGAAAACTTAGCATGCATTCAAAGAAATGCACTTTTTGAGCAGGTCTATTCTATCTACCCAAAACAGATGTATAGAATTCCAAGAATTTCAACTCAACCAAAATTTGAGATCACCTAAGTTCAATCCCACGAATCCAGTCAATCACCCCTCAATTGCCCTTCAGACTGGACTAATGATCCTTCTTCAGTATCTGTCCCCTGCATGCATTGAGAACATATAGTCATGATGACAGATGAAGTTTGAACCCTGCAAATTTTTAGAAAATTCATCTTACCTTGAGTTGTGATCTGGTTCCTTATGGTTTTTACCTGGGATTCTGGCTGGTTCTAGGGAGAGAGAGACAAGAGATGACTTTCTAAGAGATCATTAGTCAATTATTTTATTGTACTTTTTATTTCTGGAAAGATTTTAACATTGACTTAAATATATCAACATTCAAATTTGAGGATTTGATAGACTTTTCTAGAAGAGTATTGGGCTCTACATATGATGCCTCCCACTTAATCATCAGTTCTTAAATATTATTAATGGAAACTACAACTGTGTTTGTAATTTCTTCAGTAAACCACGGGTTAATTCACTGGAATTAAGATGATTTTGTGTAAAAAACATGTCTTTTATTACTTCATCAAGTATTTCTAACTTGAATTATACTTTTCTAGTTGAAAAGTAATTTTCTTGCACTTGAATAAGAAGAAAACTGATTTAGGGAAATATCTATCATACAGCATTTAGGGAATTAGTGTGTTTGTCCTTCTTTATTCATCTTGCTCCCTGTCCTCTATAGCAGCCATTTGTAATTTTCTACTATTCTAGTCTTTTGTCTGTTTTGATATTCTTCCAGAGCTCTGCCACTCTTTTATAAATATATAGCATTACATTCTTCATTCCACTGTTTGGGTCATTTGGGATCTGAATACATTACAGCATTTTCTGTGAAGGTCTATGATTTCTTTAGTTGTTTCCCCTTTGGTTTTTCCTAAGAATAAATAGCAATTTTACTATCAGCTTTCTCTATCTTTCATTTCTTCCTTTAAGACTATCTGGTTTTGAGGTGTGCCTATTTCTTTTTCCCCAACAAATTTTGGATACCAGCTTCTATAAAATTTAGAGGGAGGTTTGACTGAAACTAGTATTTCTTTGGGTTTTTTTTCTTATGCATCCTATCACTTACACAACTCAACATCACAATTGTTTTATTCCATCCAAGCAATAAAGTTTCAGTAGGTCTCTATGTTGTGACTATCTTTTTTAGAATTTGAATTCAGACATGAGAGGGTTTCATGAATACACATATTAACATATGTAATTGAATTAAGAAAAGAAGTCAAACATTTTCTGACAGGCAGTAAATCTGATTTGGCTGATTGGTTAAGCTTTGCCAAAATAAGTAAAATTTTTCATAAATTAGCTAATTCTCTGTAGCTCTGATATTTTAACAACTCTATATTAAAAACTGCATGAAAAGAAAGTACTTTATCAAAATTATATATTGGTAAGTTTGCATCAAATTTAAAAATGTCAGTTATTGAATATATCTCAGTACAGTCTTTTTGATATACTTTCCATAAATTGACAAAGAAAATGACTGTAATTATAGGGTGATAAATCTTTTTACAAGTCAGGATCAAAATTGAAGAAATCTAATTGAATTGTCAGCTGATAAATTAATAAAAATATTTTTTAAAGATTTATTTACTTATGCATACAAGAGCTGGGGTGCAGGCCAGAGGCATGGAGGGGTGAGAGGATTCAAGAGAGACAGAGTAGGGAGCAGAACAGGCAGATCTAGTGAAATACACTGCTGATGGGATCAGTGAGCAAGACAGGAAAGGTCTGCTGTGCCATGTGGGTCAGCTCTCTGGCTGGGGATCGAACTGGTGCTGCAGTGGCTGTGGATAGCTTCATAGCGCTGCAACTTACCCCTTTGTGCCACCAGGGAGGCCCCTAATAAAAATATTTTGATCATAAATCACTATATTAATTTGTGTACATAACTTGGAAATAGTTCAAAGAACTCAGTGAGAATGCTATCCTAAAATTCTTTTAATTTCTAACTTCTTATTTATAAGTTCCCTCAGTGCTTACATATATATAAAATAGAAAAATACAAATTTAATCAATGTTAAATTTTCCGCAATCAAATGAAAACTAATATTTTCCAGGCATATAAGCTATTCTTCTTCTTAAGAGATTCATTGTTGGGCCTCCCCGATGGTGCAGCAGGTTAAGCGCTGCACTGTGAAGCTGTCCGCAGCCTCTGCAGTGCAGGTTTGATTCCTGGCCCTCTCCTGCCTCACCCCTTGCTCCCCTCAGCAGTGTCTTTGGCCCCACCTGTTCTGCTACCCACTCTCTCTGGTAAATTCTCTCACCCTCCCACGCCTCTGACCTGTACCCCAGTTCTTGTATAAATAAATTTAAAAAAAATAAAAGATTCATTGTCAACACTACTTAATGTTTAACATTGAATACACATCTATCAAATTTTGTTATGGTGAATATTTATGTTTTCTTAATCATTCCATATTAATAATAATTTTCATGAAATTGAATCTAAAAGAAATTTTAAGCACTTAAAACCTTATTGCTAAAAACCTAAAACTTACTAAATTTTAATTTATATAACAATTTTGTTACAGATATACACGATAGGTGACAAAAGACTTTCAGAAGATAAAAATATGTTGCACTAGAGTAAAAGTTTACAGGTGACATATAATGGAAAATTGAGGTCAAAGAAGAATACAAAAGATACAAATTTTCTAAGAGTTCACATATTTTTAGATAAATGTTTTGAGTCAGAATTTAAAAACTGGAAAGGAAATTAAAGGCTAGCTATTACTGATCTTCCCATTTATTAGCCAGTATGACCCCAAATAATTAATAATTTTGCATTCCCTCAAATACTGATAACTTCTACATTTTTACATCTTAAATTTGAATGGCTACTAAAGATGTGATTTCTATCACAATACAAATAGTGACATTTAAAACATTTTAAAGTGTTATTTGGGGAGCCAAACACTGTAGCAATTTGATACAACTCTCATCCAGTCCTGCCTGGACTCCCTGGCATGCTTCTGCACTGCCTTCTTTCTCCCCAATCATCATCTTTTCATATTTATTACTGCACTACTGAGGTCAAGGAAAGGGATGTCCACAAAGACCTTTTTTCCCATCATCTCTTAAAAACTGTTTCTTTTGGACCATAAACACTGTATGTAAGTCATAAATCACTTGTTTATTGGTAATCATTTCCATCCATTCAAATAGTTAAAAACTGGAGCATGCATTTACTTTGTTTTCATATATTTTATCTGCTTACAACTCAAGTACATAGTAGATATTTAATAAATGTTAACTGATGATTATAATATTGTCTTCCTTGATATTTCAACCATTCCCTATTATCAATCTCATGTGCAGTGTTTTTTAAATATCAAATTACAACAATTTTTCCTTTTTTTCCTCCAGGAGAACTGGTTAGTTTACTAGTTTTAAATTTTTATCCAGAAATTTTTCTTGTCTACCTCAAATTGCTAATTAAAATTTATATTTAAATGAGATGTTACTTCAATGCAATAGCTACTATGTACTCAAAATCTTCATTTTATGGTTATGATGTAGTAAGTGATTTTTATCCAATATAAATAATACAAGTAGTTAATGACCAAGTTGGCTATAGTCAGAATTAAATATAGACTCAGTGCTCTACCATGGAAAGTGAAGAAATTATTGCTGTTCTTTCATTCTCTAGTTTTCATCCCATGTTTCAACCTGCCAGTTTTTGTCAAATACTACCTATTTTCAATTATCAAAGTTTTTAGCACTTATATTCTTTTATATTACAATAATCAGTTATTATGTTTTATAATTAATATTAAGTTTCAGTTCTGAAGATTGAAAACATCATTATGTAAATATTATTCACTACAAGACTAAGTATAACGATCAGACAAATATAAAATGAAAGTAACTTTCTTTTAAAAGCTGTGTTTTGTAAAGGAGAATATTGAACACTCATGGTCAAATAAGCTATTTATTTTAAACTCTCAGTTACTCAAGTTGCTTCCTACATTCAAGATAAATTTTCTTATTAGCTAATACTTTGTTTTCTCTTGAAAATACACCATCCCTCCCTTTACTCCCACATTTGTTTTCTTATTAACAGTCATTAAACTTCTTAATCAATGAAATATGTCGAATGAAATGTTTTTTTTTCTTGAAAACAGTCTTCTTAGAGATCTGCTGCTATCTTTTCCAAATTTGATGCATGTTTCTCATTAACTTTTTTTTATAGTATTACAAGTTTAATTCAATGTATATACATACACATGTAGATACATATATAATTTTCTTTCTGTCCTTTTGCTTAGCTTCCACTCATGTTTTATTGGAGTACTTTCTTGTGTATTTTAAGTTAATGATAAGTGAAATTCTTTTTTCTTTGATTATGTTTTCCTTTATTCTCAGAATCAGTTGATAACTTACTAAGATTTCTAGGTTCAAAATAATTTTATTCAGATTTTCAAAACTTTCCTTCTTGGCTTCAAATAGGTATTGGTGGTGAGAATTCTGACAAAAATAAAATTCTTGTCCTTTTATGTATTGTTTTATTTTCCCTGGAAGCTTTGAAAGTTTTCTTTGTTTTAATTCTGAACTTTCATTAAGATGTATCTAGGGCACATATAGGTTCATTCATTATGTTTGGTCTTTAGTAAACTCTTAAAATTGTCTTCATTTCAGTGAGATCTTCCAATTTCTGCATGTCTTCCTTCCATGTTTTCTCTTTTCTCTTCCTTATATAAATTGCATTAGTAAAACATTGGACCGCCAATATTTCCCTCTATAGCTTACACTTTTTTCTCTGTTTATATTCTTCTACATTATCAACTATTCCCAAGTTTTATCTTTCAGAACTTCTGTTCATTATTTACTTTACTGACCATACCTTTAACTTAGAATACTTATTTCTTGCACTGTGGTTGGTGCTCTTACATAGCAGCCAATTCTAATTCTAGAAATGAGCTATTTTCGGAAATACTCCAAATGTACAATACAGCACTTTTTTAAATGCCCCTTTTTCACTTATAAAACATTAAGCAATTTTATATAGTCTTATCATTTTCTTTCAAGCTTTTAATTTTACTCAATCTATATGTGCATCCTTGATTTCTCACTTGTATTTATTAATCAAATTTTAAGTTTATAATACTGGAATAAACACTGTTCCCCAACATTTTTAGGTTTGCTATTCCAAGGACTTCTCACACACCTATGGATCAGCTACTTATATTTCATAGATGTGAAAGGCCTGAATAATTAC